GAGTTTAGTTTACTTGGTTTCGCTGATTGTGTCACTTCAAAAAGTTCGCGGGCTGCGTCGACGAAGGAGATCGTTGAAGCGTTACCGTAAGCGACGAAGAGTTCTTTCTTCACTCGTTCGTAGCTGCAGTGTTTGAAGGCTGGTCGTAGATTACGTGATAGCATGCCGCGTGTATCACCTAGTTTCTTATTGGTGTGCGAAGCAAGTTGCTGTGTACGGCCGCGGTCGTCTGTAAGGCCGGTGGAGGTGAAATGAATTTCCATTTGCCATTGACGTACATTCCAGACGTACCATTGACGTACGTCTGTTTCTGGGGTTTTTGGTATCCCAGGAGGCTCGATGCAATCTAAAATATTTCCTCTGAAAAATTGTAGATTTTCAGGGGAGGGTACGTATGTGACGTTTGGCCTTACCGGTGTGTTCAACTGTGATGAAGCATCAGTTGCACTCGTAGTGTCTGTAGCCGCTGATGGTGCCGATGCTCGTGAAGGCGCTGCTGTAGTCGGGGGTACTTGTGGAGCATCCATCTTGTTCTCTTTGTTTTTACTGGCACTCTTTCTGATTTAGGGCATCTCACTGGTTCCCGTTTAGATCTCACTGGCCTCGATTTTTTGTCTTTATCACTTTCAGAATCACTCATTAGTCACTTATGGCACAATGTTCGGTCGCCAAATGTACGACGTTGTGTTCGACTGCCATATGTCTGCTATGTTCGACTGCCATTACATATGTCATCAGAAATCTCTTTCCTAACTATTTTCAACCTAGATATCAAATTGCAAACTACCTGAAGTATATAATAACAACTGGGAACATGTTTATAATTTTGAGACGTAACCCACAGATAAAATTTTGGAGTATCAAGTCATAATGAGAAAATTGCGTTTCCGCACGATAAATAAAAGTTTTGACCTCGTAATGAGCCACCGTAAAAATTACTATTAAGTACAATTAAACACACATCGCAAAAAGACCTAGAAAACTATAAACGAAAGAGTTTTATCCACGACTATACATTCATTTGCAACAAAAAACCCTTAATCAATCGAAACCTGCGAATATATACAATTTATAACCTGGCCACGCAGCATTTGTCTTATAATGACTTGATTAATTTTACTTTGTTGAAAATTTCCAATTTCTTGGGTTGTGATTTTTTAGAGTTATTTTTCTCCATGCTTATTGATAGGTATCGGTTTGTAAATAGAGTTGTTGGCTGTAAGACTTGGTGGTGGCGGAAACATCCATAGTTGTTGCTCAGGCAGGAGTGTATGTAAAACCATCCCTTTCTAATTTCTTTTTACAAGTTTGAGTCATCACTCTATAGTTTTCGTTTTTTTATTTATGTTGAAAATGCGGATGCGGGTAATCACTACCATGTAGGGTAACATGGGGGCAACAAACCCACTGCGGGCCATGGGATCATAGCGGGTTTCTCGCTAAGTATGTCAGACACTGGTCCGTGAGCTCTAACGCCGGTCGACAGTTTCACGTACAGGGCGTAAGTGTACGCCTCTGCGTTTTGCTCAGAGTTTGCGTTGACAATTTACCTGCCGATACCTGTTTAAGCCCATATATACGCTTTCTACCGGCTAAATAAAACTGTTTTCGATTGCTGTAAATGAAACTTTTGAAAATACTGTGAAATATATTTTGAGAGTATTGTCTATTTTTACTATTTTGATCATTCAGCATTGCTAGCATGTTAGTCTTATAATGATAAAATTGCTATTATTATTGACAATGAAGATTTATTTGGGAATCATAATTTACATAAATACTGTCTTTTATTCGTTCTGAGATGTGAGTCTTGACGTACTATCAATTGGCCTACAGCCCTACCTAAGAGGAGCTGCTTCAGTCATATATAGAGGTGTTGAACTTGTTACTGCATGAGTTGAAAAACAACTCCTGCTTACACCATGGTGATGTTTATGAAAATAAAATGTTAATAATTGTGTCATTGTCAGGAGCAGTGTTTTTCAGTGCTCGAGCCTGAGAGAACTCTCCGACTGTGAAAGAAACACAGTGATAATTTTTGCGTCTGACTATTTCTCTCACCACTTCTGAAACTGCTGACGCAGGAGGAAGAATGGCAGGAATTGCTGGTAAAGAGTGTTCACAAAACAATGTGACTTTGGCTTAGGCCCACTCTGATTTCTGCGAATTTTTCACCCCATCTCTTTGGTGGTAGTGGATGAAGATATTCTGCCCACATACTGCATCCAGATTTTATGTTGCTTCTTGAGCATCACAACGCTTATATTCTATGAGGTTTGATGGGGTGGCGGAGCGCCACAATCTTCCCTTGCTTAGCGTCTCAGCACCACTGCTATAGACCATCCTCTGTCTCACCACGGTGTGGCAAAGTGGGAATGTTTTCTCTCTGAGCATTGAGAAGCTGATTGTGAGGCAGCAGTCAACATTGCATTAGAGAGATAATTACACCCACTGGCAGCATCCCAAGGACAGCACCCAGAAGAAATCAGTGCATCATCATGAGCTTGTCGATAAAGGGTCCAGTTAGCTTCATAAAATTTCCACAAAACTAGGATACTTTCAGAAGATTGCACAAGCATAGATTCGCACCCTGTGTTAAGGATGCTCTGGTGAACAAATTTGGAGTGAGAATTTCAATATTCAAGCAGGATGAGGTACCAACGTGATTGTCAATGTATGTAGGAAAGCTGCCATAATTCAGCAAACAGATAGGAAGGACCCCAATGGTTGCCTCTAATGAGCGGCAGGTGATATTTGATCTGCCACGGCTGTCCCACAATGGAGATTGAGCATTAAAGTCACCAGTTGCCACAAATTGTTCACCTGGTATTGAACTTTGTAGCAACCATCCTTACTTCTGGATTTGGTCCACTAAAGAAATATTTCACTTTTTGTCAACCTGGTTAGATAAATTTTTCTTGTTCAGTTCATCACCAGCTCTGTATCGGTAAGCAATAAAATTTGCTTCACACCAGTAGTCCAGCCTCTGCCTAGCCTTTAATTGTGGGTCTCGAAAACTATTAATCAGCAGTATCAACTTAAATCGGTATAACTTGTATTAAAACCCCATGCATTCATTAATTATTAATTGATGAGCATAATGCGACAGTTAAAAACAGGCGGTATAGTACTATTACATTTATCATTTTATCAAAATTGGAATATTTGTAGGTAAACAGGAATATTGGGCCATGAGTCAATTGTGCCATGGCCATTCATTGACATGAGTGGAATTTTCTATATGCGCGAGTAGTTTTGGATTCTTTTATAGTGACTCCAGGAATTTGGCCAGTTTTTCTATCCTATTTGTTTTTCTTCCAAAATTTCAGATTTTTATTTGAAGAAGCAAAAAAATGAACAGAGAAAACGGTACAATTGCTCCCACGCTTACAGGTAGCAAGTGAATAAATTAAGTTTTCTTAAAAGACAGTCGTAGTGTGAATTTCATAAAGTAAAATAGTTATTGTAATGGACAAGTCTAAAGGCAAGTTTGGACAGACGCTTGTCTCTCTTAGAAGGTCGTCCTGACCCACTCATTTCTCTCAGTGTAACGATTGGTGTCTATACTCAGGAGCAGCGTCCTGGGCTACGATTCAAGCACCTCATCATGCCAGGCAGGGAAAGGAAAATGGTAGTCATTCATGTTTTGTTTCCTTTATCTTATTGTAAGCTGTTGCGAAAATTCAGCACATCTGAACAAATGAAAAATACGAATTTTGGGAATTTGACCAAGTTTAAACGGGTATTTAATAAACCAATATCTAAGCATTGCATAACTTTCTAAAACAAATGTGAATGTGACAACAAATATAAATCCGCATAAACTTTCTTGTATGGTGTGTCTTAATCTTCAAATTCTGGAATTATCAACGGGAATTGAAGCCTATTTTACTTTGTCGACTTAACTTTACATTGGTGAACTCATAACTGACCACGATAACATAAGCAAGAAATATATGATTTATTTATTGCAAATTGGCCTAAGGAGTAAGTCAGTGGACGCTCTACTCCTAGCAACAGCAAAACAGTAATGAATGGCAGCGTCCCCGAATATAGCTCCGCACCGTAAGGCTACAATCGAAAAGTTTAGGTACCATGAATACCATTCGCATGGATACACTGGGAATTTGATTCTGCTGATGCCTTGCGTTGCTATACATAATCGTTAGCTTGATTTACCTGTCTACTTAGAAAATAAATGAGTCATATTGTTTAAATAGAGCGACACACTTTCCGCACGTAGAACTGATACGTATGCTAATTTTACAGACCAAACTGGGTCAAGATGACACTCTAAAAGGCAAAATTTTCATCAATATTTGGTCATAGTATCACTCATTTCTCTGAGTACACAAATTTGGCACAACTGTTAAAAATTAAGGTTAAAATAAGTGGTGATTAAAGGCGGTTATTTTGTCGCAAGAATTGCATGGTCGGTTCACATGTACAGAGAATTCGGGAAGAAGTCGAATAAATTATTTTTCATTCGTTCGGCGTCAGAAATCAGTCAGATCGGCGACATAAATAATTGTTAGACAATTTTCTTGCGATTATGTATTTAGTGATGTTTATGTATTCATTTTGATAATAATAGCGGTTTCAGCGTTTATTAGGCCGTAGGCCTGTCGCCGATTCTTAATATCGCAGAACATTCACAGCATTTCGAGGTCTCGAACTCGCAACTCACTGCTACAATTCTGCTGTGCTTAACCGCCCGGCCTCCTCGCCGATTCTGACCAGAAACTCGCACAGAGCTGGGATCGAACCCGCGCCTCTCTAGTGCTACAAACTTGGTACTCTGAACTTTAACCACTGGGCCACCCTGATTGTACGGAAATGAACGAATAAATCCCGATGATTTCCGTAAGCGGAAATCATCGGCGTCATCGGCACAGCGTCAGTCACGACTATTTCCATTGTAGGAGGCAAAGAAACTCTCAGCGGCTGAAACTCTTCTACATTTATTCGATTTTTCTTTATGGGCAGGGACAGTTTGCAAGATGGCAACTACCCCAAAAAAAGACGACTTCCAGGACATGGAGACCCTTTCCCAGAACTACTTCTGCATCATGGAACTTTGCCCCAAGTATGTCGGGAGAATTCTCTCCCTCGAATGTGGAGACAAAAATCCCACAGAAACATACAAAAAATATTTAGAGAGACTCCGGGGCCAGTCCTTCTCTCAAACAGAATGGAAAAAAAAGAGTGGAAACAAATCCATGGCAAGCTTATTTGAAACAGAAGCCACTTCTGATAACATGGATATGACTACGCTGTTCCAACTCTTCCAGATGATATTCGAAGTAAAGAAAAATGATACGAGGGACCCTACAGAAGTTATAAACAAATTAAAAGCTGTCAAGGACGTTAGAAATGATATGACGCACAACGAAAAATCGATGAGGGATCAAAAGAGAATTGATGAGATAGAAAAAAAGATGAAGGAGTTGATTCAAAAGAGTGGCGAGTTTTATAAACTTCCTGAGAGTGAAACAAGATTAATGGAACATGATCTGCAGGTCGAGATAAGAAGTGGGCCTACTTCAGCTGGGAAGAAGCTGGCTTACCACATCCACCGTTTGCTTTCCGAGGGGAAAGAATATGTAAGGCTTCGTTTCCAGGACCTCACCAAAGAAGATCTCCCTTTCGATGCCGGCCGCGTGGACCGGTCAGGTGTGTTTCACGCACCTGAAATGACACTACAAGACGAGGAAAGTAAAACTTTCAAGTACCAATGTGTGTTCGATGCAAGTGATAAAATCGTTATTGTCTTAGGCGACGCAGGAGCTGGCAAGACGACCCTACTCAAGAACATAATCCTGCAGTTCATTAAATTGCAGAATTTAGCGAACACAATTGCAGTTGGGTTGGCTAAACCCCACCCTCATTTTCTGTATGATTTTGAAATTCTTGTCCACGTCGAGTGCCGGGATAGGACTTCAAAAACATTACATGAAGTCTTTGTGGGACTTTTTGGCCCAGTATGCACAGACATCAGAAAAGAAGGAACTTTACAAGCACTGTCACGTCTCCGTGTGCTGTTCCTGGTCGACGCATTCGATGAGCACAACGAGGAGTCCATCGCAGTTCTGCGTGAGCTGTTAAAGGAAACCTGGCACCCTAAATCCCGCATTCTCATCACCAGCCGTCCTCCCGCTGTCGAAAAATTGAGACAATTACTTGCCAAAAATAATTGTCATTACTCATTGTATGTAATTGCCCCTCTCACTCAGTTAGATGAGCAGGTTGAGTTCATCAAAAAGTACGAAAAAACACTAATCAAAAACACTGCAGCAGCTGGTGCGATGTCCAAACGATTCTCCACACTGAACCCACACATCAGAGCGCTTTTTGTCACACCAATGGCTCTGCTTCAATACTGCGATATATACCTGCGCTCTCCACAAACTATAGATAATTGGAAACGTGCAAGCGACGTGTCAGGGGACACATTGAACCTATATAAGACCATCTTTAAAGAGAAGCTTAGCGACTATGATGTCCACGACATTGACGTTCTTATTAACAAGCTGTTTGTGATCATTGGCAAGTTCGCTTTGGAGTTTCTTATCAACGACAAGATCAGCTTCTCTGAAGACGAGTTCCTGCCAGTGAGAGACTCATGTCACTCAGAAATAGCATCCTACTGTGGCCACAATGGCTTGGAGTCCGATGTACTCCTCTCCGTCATGTTCAGTACGAAGAGGTCGCTGTCTTGTAGCGATAAAACGACCTACTCCTTCAGACATAAGAGCATCCAGGAACGGTCAGCAGCAACTTACGTGAAAAAGCGCATGATGATTACCGACGAACCTCTCCTGGTTATTCTGGGCATAGCACCGGCGGAAAGCCCATGGTAAGCCCACATCTTCAAAGGTTGTTTGTGGCATAATAACGACTAACAACGCCGAAAAACTGTTCTCTCAATTGTGGAACATTTATTGGTGTCCTGTGTACCGTAATTTTAATTCTCAAGTTGAAATATGTGCTAATAAAATGGCCTTGTCGACTAGTCGCCATTTCATAACAGAAATAATTGCTAGAGATATTTTTAATGAACAACCGAGGTAAAAGTTATATAATTACCTACATTAAATTTTTTTCAGAGTTCTGGTCTCTTCTGACGATAAAATTTATTTGATTCCCCGCATGCTAGATTAATACTGACTATAATGATATACTTACATAATAATGATATAACTCTAATTCTAGTATGATACTAATATAAAACTAATCATTGTATTGGTAATATAAATACTAATGAATAAGTGGTGAGCAGGTACACATCAGTGAGGCAACGGCTCTTCTCTTCCATTCGAGGGACACAGCGACCATTGGATGACTCCTCGCGCAGCCATGGAACCGAACCAGAGTCTGTCGAGCGATGCCACCCCGAACGGTGAGTGTTGACTACGTCTTAATTACGTATGTGAAGCATACAATAAAATTTTTCAGAAACATGAAAATATCATTCCCTATTCCGGACCCAGCAAATTTGCTTTCTAAACACGATTTGCATGTTGAAGGTTTGTGTCAGTTATCAAATATCATATAAAATCTTTTGCAGTCCAGAAGTTTTTGACTTCGAATTAAGCCTGCTCTACGATTCAAATTTTATGTTTTCATTTACACTATTCCAGCTTGCTAGAGGTGATGCAGTACGTCCTGCAGGACCTGAGCAGCAGCAGCCCCCGACAGTTCCAAAAGCGCTGGCCCCAACTGAGGGACGCCCTCACTGACGCCGGCGTCACCAGGGGCGCCGACTGGCAGGCGGTGTTGCTGAGGAGCCCTGAAGTCACCGCGCTGGCGAGGCACGCGGCCGAGGTCACGATCAAAGAGACTGACATGTGGGGCGTGCGCAGCGGTGAGTTGTTGCAGACACTTGCATGCATGGCATAGATTATGATGCATACACTGGCACCCATGGCATAGATTATTCATGGCATAGATTACGATGCATAGACTGGCACCCATGGCAAAGATTATGATGCATACACTTTGTTTGTCTCAATTGGAATGCTTGCTATTTGCGATTACAATGCCGCTTTTACGTAGAAATCATAGGATTTTATTAAGTAATAACTTTCATCATTCAAATTCGCTAATTAGAGCGTGGTGACCTCAAGCCAGGCCTTTGCGTATGTCAGCCCTGCAGCTCATAAGGGGTTGTATTTATAAGTATGTATTACTAGTAAGAAAGGTGGTATTTATAGATTAGATGTGGCTAGTATATATACTAATTACGATGGAGCGTATTTACTAATTAAAATGGGGCGGATAAATATATTAATAAAAAGAGGCGTATTTGTTAATTGAAATGGGGCATATTTATTATATATAAATGGGTACAATAAATATACCAATTAGAACGAGGCGAATTTATTAATCTGAATGGTGCGAATATATGTACTAATTTGAAAGGGGCGTATTTATTGATTAGAAATGGGCGAATAAATATACTAATTAGAAAGGGGCGTATTTATTAATTAGAAAAGGGCAAATAAATATACTAATTACAGAGGGTTGTATTTATTAATTAAAGAGAGGCTTCTTTATTCATTAGAACAGGGTAAATAAATATACTAATTATAGAAAGAGGCGTATTTATTTATTAGAAGGGGTTGAGTAAATATACTAACTAGAAGGGGGCCTTTATATTAATTAGAAAGGGGTGAATAAATATACTAAATAGAAAGGGGCGTATATGTTAATTAGAGAGCGGTGAATAAATATATTAATAGGAAAGTAGCTTATTGATTAAGGGGCGAATAAATATGTTAATTAACAAGAGGCGCATTTATTAATTAAGAAGGGGCGTTTGTATTTATTAGAAATGGGCGAATAAATATGCTAATTAAAAGGGGCGTATTTATTAATTATAAAGGATCTTATAAATGAATTTGAAAAGGGCTAACTAATAGATATACTAATTAGAAAGAGGCGTATTTATTCATTATACAGGGGGCGAATAAATATATTAATTAAAAAGAGGTCTATTTATTAAGTAGAAAGGGGCGAATAAATATACCAATTAGAAAGAGGTGTATTTATTAATTAGAGAGGGGTGAATAAATATATGAATCAAAAAGGGGTGAAAAAATGTATTAATTAGAATGGGGATATCTTTTCCATGATGAACGTCTTTTTAATTCTGCATTCGCCTCTCTTGTTCCTCAACATTCCCATAACACCAGGGGCATTTTAAGTTACCCCCGTTTCGGTTAGAAATTGAAAGAAACGGTACAGTTTGTAATTGTGTAATGTAATTTAATGAATTGCCAGATGAGTTTAAAATAGATTCTTCTAAATTCATTTTAAACACTAAATTCCGCGATTTTATTCTTACCAGTATTAATTTGACTTCAATTATCATGTAAGATTTTAGTAATTGCCTTTCTTCATAAAATTTTTGATAAATATTATTTATTTATTAAAAAGAGGCGAATATACATACTAATTAGAAATTTATTGTTAGTATTAGAATGGGGGCGAACGAATATAATACTTAGAATGGTTGTATTTATTAATTAGAAGGGGTAAATAAATATACTAATTAGCAAGGGGCCTACTTATTAATTAGAAAGGGGCGAATAAATTTACCAATTTGAAATTGGCGTACTTATTAATTAGAAAGGGGCGAATTTATTAATTGGGTGAATGAAAATACTAATCAGAAATAGGCGTATTTATTAATTAGACAGAGGCGCATAAATATATTAATTAGAAAGGGCTTATTTATTAATTAGAATAAAGAAAGAATAAAGAATAGAAAGGGGCGAATAAATATACTAATCAGAAAGGGACGTATTTATTGGTTAGAAAAAGGTGAATAAATATAGTAATTATAAAGTGTTGCATTTATTAATTAGAAACTGGGCAATGAATATGCTAATAAGAAAGGGGCGTCGTTATTAATTAGAAAGCGGTGAAGAAATATATTAATTAGAAATAGATGTATTTATTAGTTAAAAGGGGCTTATAAATATATTAGGGGCGAATAAATATATTAATTAAAAAATAGGCAAATAATTATTAGGCAAATTAGACAACCAAATTAGGTAAATTAGACATTATTATTAAAAATTGAAAATTTAATATTATGAAAAAATTAAATTAAAATAAAAATAAATTAAATTAAGGCAAATAAATCAAAATAAGGCACTTATATAAAAAATAGGCAAATTAGACAGCCTAGGTAGACAACACAGAGAACCGGATGTAAATATTTGATTAAAAAGGAAATTTGGTAATTTGGTTCATGAAAGATAACGAAAATTACAGAAATTATGGCTTTAGAAATTATTATTACAAATTATTCACTACAGGTGCGCTTCCACGATAGCCTTGTTTGATTTATGCGTTAAAAATATTACAATAAAGAAAAATTATAGTTCAGGTATTAAATTTAATTGTTTTCCGTCACCTGTCAATAACACTCACGCTCTATCTCACTGCCCTCAATTAAGTCTCCTCCATCTTACCACTCTAATATCTTTCTCACTCAAACGCCCCATATCCAACAATAGTCTTCTTCACAGTTCCCTTCCCATCCACATCACACAATAAAACTATTCACATTCAGCGCCCCTGCCTTACACCAAACACTCCACTTCTGCTACCATATATATATATACTTTGTCATGCCTTCCACTGCCGAACAGTAATATTTAGTAATAACTATAATAGCAGTAATATTTAGTAATAGTTATGGTAGTAGGAACATTTAGTAATGATAACAGTAATATTAAGTAATAATAGCAGGAATATTTACTAGAAGTAATACTGGCTAGGAGTGTCCGTCTAATTATACTTCCCACAATAGAATGCAGTGAGCAGAGAGGTAAGTAGAATGAGTCGCAATGATGCATTAATGCAGCACGATATTTTTACAGCTAGTTATTAAGTAACCTAGAATGAGCTGAAGCGTCCTGTGTTGCTAAAAGGTCTCTTTTTTACCGATTAAAAAATATTATACAACAAAACGAAGTCAGCATTAACAACAAAAAAAACAACGGAAATAAATTCAACATTGAAAGTGTTTAGAAAATACTATTTCGGAAAATAAGTTAGTAAGATATAGACAATGCCAGAATTACAATGCATATCTTTGCACACGCTACATAAAACAGAATATTAATTTTTGGTAGCGTCCTGATGCGCGGTCACCAAGGCTGCACGAAGAGAATAGCGTTTACTCCCACCCTCTCTATCATTCGACGCTACTAATCATCACCTTCGATCTATCTATCATCCGTCTCTCTACGCAGCATCCCACTCTCTGACAATCATACCACTTTCTATATATCATTGCACTCTCTATATTCATCATCTCTCTCAGCCTCAGCAACTTTCTTTCTATCATCTTTCTTTCTACTTTTCATCCCTTAGCTAATAACCCCTCACCTTAGCCATTGTTCTTCCCTTCATACCATTCTTCTCTCCCTATGTAATCGCTCTTTTCTCCTTTTAAATCTCTTACCTCTTCATCTATCATCCTTTTATCGCTCTACTCAAGCTCACACCACATCAGGCAACAAGTATCTTCATTCTTCGTCCGCAGCTGGAGACGTGGTGGCAGTGGCACTAATGCTGAAAGAGCGGCAGCCTCGTGTCATCAACATCGTGATGCCAGCTGCTGTGCTGCGCGCTGCAGGCACCAGCTGGCCTGACCTGGCGCGGCGTTACGAGGGACAACTGCTGCTGGACATCAGACCAACAGGAGTGGCAGCAAGCCCCGAGCCCTGCGACGACCTGCTGAAGTGCCTCAAGGGCTCCAGGTCAGTGACATTTGCCCCCTATGTGGTCATAGTTTAATTCGGTTTTACTCGTGCACCATGCTTCGAAATTTTTGTACCTGCTGTAAAAAAACCTACAAGACTCAGTACGAAGATGATTAGTGCCGTATTTCTGTTCTACATAAAATAAAAATAAACTCATAATGAATAATACACGAAAGAAGATATTGCGAAGAACTGAAACACTTATGAGTATATTGTATATATTTTACCGAACCTAAACATTGTAGTGAATAACGCATGCTCCAGGATAATACGTATGTGTAGTTGAATATAGTATAGAATAAAAAATGGGAGAATTGGGCAAGATGGCGTCAATTTTTCACTACATTCATAAAACAAATAGACCTTTATACACGAGTATATAGGTATACGTGGTCTAAGTTCTTTGAAGTATTTACTACAATTATCATTCCTAAAGAAATATATATGCTAATTTGTTTTGATTGTTAAAAACGATCCGCATAATTTATAGCTTCATGTTTTGCACAATTTAAACTAAATTGGGAAGAAAAGCACGAATACAAAGATTAGAATACATGGCAGGATATATAGTGCAGAAGCTAAGCATGAACATGTAGAGCAGGATATATAGTGCAGACGCTAACCATGAACATTTAGAGCAGAATACATTGCAGGATATATAGTGCAGAAGCTAAGCATGAACATTTAGAGCAGAATGCATTGCAGGATATATAGTGCAGAAGCTAAGCATGAACATTTAGAGCAGAATACATGGCAGGATACAAGTAGATTGAGTAGTTCAGGTGCTCGCGGCATTACAGAGCGTACGAAGTGTTCGGAGCGTTCAGTTCGCTCAGAGCTCTTGGAGCGTACATTTCGTTGAGAGCACGGCACTATAGGAAGCACGGCACTAGGAAACACGGCGCAAGGAAGCACGGCACTAGGAAGCTCGGCACTAGGAAGCACGGCGCAAGGAAGCACGGCGCAAGGAAGCACGGCACTAGGAAGCACGGCACTAGGAAGCACGGCGCAAGGAAGCACGGCACTAGGAAGCACGGCACTAGGAATTAGGAAGCACGGCGCTAGGGAGCACGGCGCTAGGAAGCACGGCGCTGGGAATAACGGCGCTAGGGAGCACGGCGCTAGGAAACGCAGCGCTAGGAATAACGGCGCTAGGGAGCACGGCGCTAGGAAACGCAGCGCTAGGAATAACGGCGCTAGGAAGCACGGCGCTAGGAAGCACGGCGATAGGAAGCACGGCACCAGGAAGCACGGCGCTAGGAAGCACGGCGATAGGAAGCACGGCACCAGGAAGCACGGCGATAGGAATAACGGTGCTAGGAAGCACGGCGCTAGGAAGCACTGCGTTAGGAAAAACGGCGCCAGGAAGCACCGCGCTTCGAATAATCAAGCTGGGAAGCAAAAGCTAGGATGCTTCACGATAGGAAACACATGACGCTAGTAAGCACCACGCTGGGAAGCACCACGTTTGGAAGCACCACGCTGTGAAGCACCACGCTGGGAAGCACCACGCTGGGAAGCACCACGCTGGGGAGCACCACGCTTGGAAGCGCCACACTGGGAAGCACCACGCTGGGAAGCACCACGCTGGGCACCACGCTTGGAAGCGCCACATTGGGAAGCACCATGCTTGCACGCTTGGAAAATACTAGCCATATCTCTCTCCCATTGATAACTGTTTATTGTTTTTAGCAGAATGAGTCTATTCTTTAATATATTTTTCCCACCCCACAGCCCGGCTATATATTCTTCAATAAATATAATTGCTTATCTGGCGCTAAGATCAAGACACCAACAATTCTGTCGCAGGTGTCAGCTCACTGAGCTCTGGTGCGGCATCAGCAGCGCAGCTGGCGTCGCAGGTGTGGCGTCTGTGGCTACGGCCACAACTGCCTTGTACATCGCACTCCGCGCCCCCCTCAGCCTGCACGCCCTGCACGGCAAATATAAGCACCTAGGTGAGGCCGGGTGGCTTAGGATATGCAGCCTTGCAAGAACTGGTGCGGCAGGACCAAGTTTAGCTTAACGGCCTCGTTCAGGAGATAACTCCAACAATTTTGAGTTAGTTTAGTTTCCACATATTCAAATTCCATATCTATTTATTTTATCCTAGTCATATTTTTTTAAATTCCAAATATCATTATAAGCTGGAGATTATATTGCTTCTAATTTTCGTTATACGTGGATGTCGCCTCCTAGTTTAAGTCTCAAATTCGCTTGATGCCATCGGAGAGACGTGCTGCACGGTAAACGAAGGCACAAATGAAAATTTGTCAACGCCTCACTGGCCACGTGACCTCCTCACGTGTTCCTCACAGGTAGAGCCCGTGTGCCCCATGGGCCGCGTCTGATCCTCACAGGTAGAACATGTGCGCCACACAGGTCATGTAAGCGCCACACGGGCTCCCATGAACAATTTAGAGCAATGCTGGGTGAAAGACTGGCCGGAAACCAGGCCATCATGCTGGGTTGCAACCAGGCAATCATGCTGGTTGCAACCAGGCCATCATGCTGGGTTGCAACCAGGCAATCATGCTGGGTTGAAACCAGGCAATCATGCAGGGTTGCAACTAGGAAATCATGCTGGTTGAAATAGATTACAAGACTGAGTAAAGTTAGTTGACAATTAGGCTGGGTGGGTTTTGGGCGCCACTCTGACTGGATATTCGTAACCCTGTTGGATATGAGTTAGTATTAGTTGGCAGGCCAAGCAACTAGGCTGATTAACGGCTGACAGCGATGCATTGAGTGCTGGCAGCCATGCAGTGAAGGCTGCCGGTCAAGCAGCGAAGGCTGTCGTGTATGCAGTGAAGACAGTCAGCTATGCAGTGAAGACTGACAGCCATGCAGTGAGGGCTGACAGCAATGCATTAAAGACTGAAATCCATGCATAATAGGCTGGCAGCCATGCATTACAGCCTGGCAGCCATGCATTATAGGCTGGAAGCCATGCAATGAAGGCTGTCAGCCATGCAGTGAAGGCTGTCAGCCATGCATTATAGGCTGACAGTCATGCAGTGGAGGCTGGCAGTCATGCATTATAGGCTGGATGCCATGAAGTGAAGGCTATCAGACATGCATAATAGGATGGCAGTCATGCATTATAGGCTGTCAGCCATGAATTATAGGCTGTCAGCCATGCATTATAGGCTGTCAGCCATGCATTACTGGCTGGCACCCATGCAGTGAAGGCTGTCAGCCATGCATTAGAGGCTGTCAGCCATGCATTATGTATAGGCATTATAGACTGTCAGCCATGCATTATAGGCTGGCAGCCATGCTGTTATGGCTGGTTGCCATGCAGTTATGGCTGGTTGCCATGCAGTTATGGATGGTTGTCATGCAGTTTTGGCTAGTTGCCGTGCAGTTATGGATGGTTGCCATTCAGTTATGGCTGGTTGCCATGCAGTTATGGCTGGTTGCCATGCAGTTATGGATGGTTGCCATGCAGTTATGGGTGGTTGCCATGCTGTTACTGGTGGTTGCCATGCAGCGTTGGCTGGCAGCCATGCAGTGACAGCTCATAACCACATTGGGTAAGGGCATTCAGCTGTGCTTGGTGAAGTCTGGCCCTCGTGTTGCCATAAGCACAGCATTTCCCACGCGTAATATTGGTCGTTATTTGACTCGCAGAAGTGCACATTTGGCCGCTGGGTGCCGCCTGGTCTGTCGTTCACCTGCCGACCCTGCCCCCACCGTGCCAGGAGGGGGACGACGCAGGGGTCGAGAGCCCTCCTAGCCCCCGAGCTGACGTGCGTCTGCCCGCCCTGCCAGCGCCGGAGCTGTGGGTGTGGGGCGCCGAGCCCGGCAGCTGTGAGGCCATCGCCCAGGCCATCAATAAAGTCGCTCCCCACACCAAAAGGTTATTTACTTCATGTGATAGAAGAGGAATCATTAAGTTTTGTGGTCGCTAAATCGCAAGTTAATTAGAAATTGATAACAAATAATAAACCACAAACATTGATTAGAAGCGTTCCATCAAATAAATTATATCGTCCCGATCTCGATAGCAACTTTTGAATTCTAAATTCAACTACCAATGTTTTTGACATTCTTGTGTTGAAAAATCAATACGCCAGCGAACTATTAATCATGTTTACATTCAAATATAAGTCTCGCCACAACCCGCTGTTGGCTACTCTTAATTGGAATTGTTAAAAGTTATAGATTTCCCGTAGCCTTGTCTTCGATTTGCCTATTCTATCCTCAGTATCCACTCTATCTATTTTAGCTGTGATACTAGCTTATGTATGAAACAGTTTTTTTCGAACGATTCCTAACTGCTTATGTATGAAAAACTTGAGTGTATTTCACACGCCTGCACGCTCGACTAGTCCGTAAATCCAGGCGAGTCTGGATGCTCATCTCTTGGTCCATCAAATTAGTGGATGCTCATCTCTTGGTCCGTGTGCAGACTGGCGAACTTATGGGTGTATAGACCCGAGCTGGGAGAGGATGAGCAGTGGCAACTGCAGGAGGAACTGCAGCGCCAAGGCGTTCGGAGTGGCGCTGCTGGCAACAGGCGCTACACAAGAGATCAGTGAGTCTCAGTAGATACCGACACACGCGCCGTGAATCTCGGTAGATACAGACACACGTGTCGTGATCACTAAATTAGAAATTACTAAATTATTAGCTTCTCGGCATATTGTTGATCAAAGTTATATTAAAAACATCAGTTCGCGTATAATTATTTCGGGCTATTATCCTTTATTTAGTTAATATCACCGCTAAATTACTCACCTAATTGATAAACATAATTCAGTTTACACACAATAAATGATGAGTGTCGCTAAACCAGCCTTCAATTACTACAAACTTGGCCCGTTAATTCCCGGCAGCGGCGGCTGGGTTGAGCTTCCCGTGACAGACGTCCTCCGTGGCCCCGACGGGTGAGTGGGGCTGGCTTGGCTGGGTGAGTGACTTGAGTGATTTACTCTGCACTTGGGGAGTGACCTGGGGTGCTCTGGGTGATCTACGTGGGTCAAACCTGGTCGTCTCGTGAGCATTGGGGATGACATTAACTTTACGTGGTGAGTGTTTGAAGATTGGGTAGGTCATCCGGAGCTGCCAAAATGGCGGCCGCCATCGCGCAGCTTATAGATGTCCCCGTAGCGTGCCTTGCATTGACAGGACACGCTACGTCCTGCCACCTATCGTAAATGCCATCACGTTTATTTAAAATATTTTATCATCGACCTTTGTAATATTGTTTGAACTTCAATGCTAATTTATGCAATTTCTCTTTCTAATACGTTACAGATATTTGATATGTTGCGTCTAAGAAAATATTATAAAGAATATCTGTAGTTTTCTATGTTCACATTCACACTTTCCTTTCACATTAGCTCACCGTGGCTTTAACGCTAATGTTTAATTGTATTAAGTAGAATTTTTTAGCTTCACACCTTAAAAAAGTAAACTTATTTTACAAAATCTAAATAATGTCTTAAAAGAAAATGTCAACATTTATCAACGGCATATAATTTATTATTTGTTTAGTTGACCGAGAGTTATGACGATCTATTCGGTGAATGTTATTTCACCGAATTTTAACTTAAACGTTTACAAAAACTAACGAACGTATTCTCTGCTTAATAGTCAGTCGATCAGTGATGCAACGGTTTATTTAATTTGACATTTTCTTATCGAAACTTTTTTTCTTGATTGTTTGCAATTATTCAAGTCTTTAAATGTTTTACTTTATAAATAGTTAATGAACGTATAACTTTTGCAGCTTATTCATACTTTTTGCAACATGTAGGGTTATTTTGAGTCTAGACCCATGGGATATTTTATTATTTTATAATCTTTTATATTTTTCGTTTTTTTATCAACTTGTTTTGTCAACATAACTTGCATTATTGCGAAGCAGAATTGTGAATTTTAATTTCGTAAATACATAGGGAATTTACCAAGATAATCGCTTACTTTTTTTATTTCGAGTTTCTTATATCTTGTCTTGATGAGACTTGAATCGTTAGTGGATTTTTATAATGTGAAACATAAACAAGTCTTGGATAGTCAATGCAAGTGTTGCCAAGCTCATCAGTTGAGCGGACTACTTCAAGTCTCTTCCACTCACAGGATTGTGGAGGCCGTAGGCCAAGTCCTCATGCAATTGCAGTCCATCAACGCTGAGGACATAGAGGCGCAGTTGCCAGGAGTGCTACGTTCCATGCAGGAAGTGGGCGCCTCCGCGCAGGACTGGTGGGAGGCGCTGCTGTGCCGCCCCCACGAGGCGAGGCTCGCCATCACAGCCGCGCAGGCGACCAGGGCGAAGGACGGGAAGTTCATGATAACGTGCGGTGAGATGCGCGCTTGTTTGCGCATTTAAACTAACCTGTTAAATGAGCGTTATTCAGCATACGAAAAGTAAGACGTTGGTCAGCGGAATTTTAGATGTAAGTCAGCTGACTGTTAGTTATTAAGAAAAATATTTTTTTGTTTCGTTAGTAGACATGAAGTAATGTACACCGCAACTTCTTACAAGTGTGAATCCTGCAGGCCGTGACCTGGAGGCGGTTGCCAAAATGCTGCCTCACGACGAAGACTTGATGGTGGAGGTGCAGGCGTCACCGGAAGTTCTGAGGACACCCGCGTGGCAGCAAATTACCCAGCACCACTGCGGGGACATGCGGCTCCGTCTTCCAGTCCAGGGCTTAAAGTTCTTGCCCTGCGACGACCTCCTTCAGACGCTGGTCGACAGCAGGTGAGGCGTCAACTCTTCTGCTCCCCGCCTTGCATGATAAATGTGTTTAGTTTAATGTAATCAACGGTCATGCAGGAGGTGTTGGATGAGTTTAATGTTATCATTGGCCATGCATGTGGTGTTGTATGAGTTTAATGTTATCAATGGTCATGCATGTGGTGTTGGATGAGTTTAATGTTATCTATGGTCATGCATGTGGTGTTGGATGAGTTTAATGTTATCAACGGTCATGCACGTGGTGTTGTATGAGTTTAATGTTATTATCAACGGTCATGCATGTGGTGTTGTATGAGTTTAATGTTATCAATGATCATGCATGTGGTGTTGGATGAGTTTAATGCTATCATGGTCATGCATGTGGTGTTGGATGAGTTTAATGTTATCAACGGTCATGCATGTGGTGTTGGATGAGTTTAATGTTTTAAATGGCCATTCATGTGGTGTTGAATGAGTTTAATGTTATCAATGTTTATGCATGTGGTGTTAGATGAGTTTAATGTTATCAATGGTCATGCATGTGGTGTTGTATTGAGTTTAATGTTATCAATGGTCATTCATTTGGTGTTGGACGTGTTTAAAATGTTATCAATGGTCATGCATGTGGTGTTGGATGAGTTTAATGTTATCAAAGGTCATTCATTTGGTGTTGGACGTGTTTAATGTTATCAATGGTCATGCATGTGGTGTTGGATGAGTTTAATGTTATCAATGGCAATGCATGTGGTGTTGGATGAGTTTAATGTTATCAAAGGTCATGCATGTGGTGTTGTAATGAGTTTACTGATATCAATGGTCATGCTAGTGGTGTTGGATGAGTTAAATGTTATCAATGGTCATGCATGTGTTGATGGATGAGTTTAATTTTATCAATGGTCATACATGTGGTGTTAGATGAGTTTAATGTTATTAAAGGTCATGCATGTGGTGTTGGATGAGTTTAATGTTATCAATGGTCATGCATGTGGTGTTGAATGAAGTCCCGTGGTAGCTGAGAAATCGTCTCCCATGCACCGCTGGGCTCACCTTTTAGTCTTTAGTATGATTAAATTATTATAATTATATTATAATAATATCAATAGAGAAAAGTATAATATATTTTTTACGATAATAAATAAATTAGGGGATATAAATGCCATAAAAAGTTAGTATAATTAATAATATTTCTTATGATAAAGCAGGAAATTTACACACTTTTGACTTTATCATTATATTTCTTATTTAGAACAAAAATTATCATAATAAATATTTAAATACATTTTTAATGTTGTTATTTTCTTCAATATTTACTTATTATCCATGCTCAGATTTTCCATGTTGGCTATACGCTGCCCCGCAGCCCGAGGCGCCCGTGCGGCAGAGTTGCTAGGCTCGCGTGTTTTCTTGTGTTTGGTCCAGCTTCAGGAATATTATGAATTTCCTGCAGGTGCAGAGTTAAGTTTTCTTCAGTCCAACTACATGAATATTATGAACTTTCTGCAGGTGCAGAGTTAAGGTTTTCTTCGGTCGAACTTCAGGAATATTATGAACTTCCTGCAGGTGCAGAGTTAAGCTTTTTTTTCGGTCCAACTTCAGGAGCAGGTGCAGAGTTGGATTTTTTCGGTCCAACTTCAGGAATATTAGGAACTTCCTGCAGGTGCAGAGTTAAGGTTTTATTCGTTCCATTTTCAGGAATAATATGAATTTCTTGCAGGTGCAGAGTTAAGCGTTTCCATGGCGGCATCAGGACGGCTGCGGGCGTCGCGGCTCTGGCAGCCATCGCGGCCTCAGCGGTGCTGCGCATCCGCCTTGAGGCTCCGCTGGACCTCAGTGCCCTGCGGTTCAAATATATTTCCCTCGGTCAGTGTTACCAGCGGGAATATCAGTGTCGTTGCTAGGAGTATCATTGATACTTGCGAGTGGCGCGTTGGGTTTGAAATTTCACATAATAAAATTTACTGTTATTTTGTAATCATTTTAGTCAATTATGTCCTTTTTTCTTATTTACAATTAACAAATTCTTTCCGTTATATTTTGTTTTTAATAAATTTATTAATAATACAATTAATAATAATTTATTGATTTTTAATAATTTTAATATAACTATAATATTTTGGCGTTGGCGTCCATGATAGCCCGAGCAGCTCCTGCTGTGTGAAAGATGATGACGCGTGCTGCTCTAGCGACAAGCGTGCTGCTCTAGCGACAAGCGTGCTGCTCTAGCGACAAGCGTGCTGCTCTAGCGACAAGCGTGCTGCTCTAG